GTTAAAAATGGGAGGGAAAAATAATGGAAAAGATTCTAGAATCTGCCACTCTATCTGACCGGTGCAAAGTTTTGAAACATCTTGGAAATATTAGAAAAATGTATTTTAAATATAGTACATTGACTTTTGATGTATTTTGCACTTGTATTTCCATTCCTTTCTGTACCTGGATTGCTTTTTTAAAAAGAAGTTATTCATGCTTAAGATTTGTGCACCATTCCTCCCTCACTAAAGAAGATCTCAAGGTTGTGTGCATCATATAATAAAACAGTGCCTGAAGGTGTGGCTACATAGCAAGAGAAATGCAGATTCACTCACTTTCAAGTTTCACTGGAAGATTCAGTTTCGCCATGTCTGTTTGGGTTAGCTGGCCATACAGAAAGGAGGACATTGGCTAAATAGTCTTGTTTGCAGCTTATTAATGGGTTTCTGGTAGACTTGCAGGTGCACTGCTACAGGGGAACTACCTAATAATCTGTAAGCAAGGGCTAAGCGGCAATCTCCTCCTCTTATTCCCCCCCTTTGGTGTCTAGGTGCCCTAGCTCAGATGTGCTGACAACAAGCTGTTAAAAAAAGCATTAGTTACCCCATTCAGACGCACCATTGTCATGCCAACCACAGAACACACTTTATTGCATCGATTCAAGTAATCATACTATCTGAATCAGTGCAAATAGATGCATTGTGGGGGGAAAAGCAGAAGCCCCAGGGTGGAAGGGGAAACTAAGGATTAGAGGGAGAGAACTTCAGGCTGATTCACATTTGCTTTTACATAATGTGGTCAATGGGAAAAAAAGGAATCAAACCATCCTGATTCTGTAGCATATCCCACATTTTTGGTCAAAGTACTTAAGTCCAGTAATGTAAAGGTATACTGCATAAGTCTGATAACATAATCAGCTGCAGCTGTAATTTGGTACTTAAGTATTTCCTATCCCCTCCTCAATCCTAGGTTATTTTAGGTTATCTAGATTATCTTATCCTTTGGTACTGAGGAAGCCTTTGGGGATAGCAAGTTGGGGGCAGGAAGTCTTAAATGTGTGAAAATCGCTACTGCTGGGCCCAGTAACCATGGTGGGACCTTTGGCAGCAGTTTTCAGTAATTTAAGGCTCCTCCATTCTGCTGTCCCCAAAGGCTTTCTCTGGACCAAAGGAGAACATGAAAATATAAAAAACAAACAAACAAAAGCTGTCAATATAAAACCAGTTGGATTAAATTCTATTTAAAATATTCAAATTTTGCATTTCTTCAGAAAATTGTTGGACACACAGGGAGAAATCAATTTACAGTAATATTTCCTGGGAAAGTATTATAAAATTCAGGTGCTACCAGAGTGAAAGTCCTTTATTTCCCTCATGCATATCTCTCAACAATGGTGTGTGGAGAAAGCCCTTCTCTGAAGATTTCAGTACATGGTTTATTGTCATAACCTTTTCTAACCTTTCTTGGAATGAGTTGTATAAACCAAACATTTAGCAAAGTGAATATATATATTCTCAGTAATTGCTTGACATATAGATAGACCACACCCACGCACATGGATGGTTTGATTCATGTGCACAACATTTATATAAAGACTCACAGGACCACTGAGTCAGAAGTACCGATGCATACGTTGGCACCCACCCATTTCTACACAGCAGAGCCATTGCAGACGCTGACACTGGCGCCTGGCATGAAGTGGAATAAATTAAATGCAGAGGCAAGTTTCACACACGTGATACCAAAGCCAAACAAAACACAAATATATGTAGAATCCTAAATGACTATCTATACTACACAGTATGTACACACACACACGCACACATGCATGCACACGCACACACACACACACATATCCCAAATGAGAAATATGATGATGTTTAGCTTTTACACACAGAGAGAAAGAGACTCAGGCTCCCATCTCTCTTCACTTGTCATTTGAATGTGCTAATTTTTGTTTAAATAAACTGGAAATATAAATGCATGCAAGTAGCTATCCACAGAGAGCCCCTCTCAGCCAATGTGTATTTTTTTGTTTTTCTTCCCACTTTGTCATTTAACTGCTAGTCAGTTGGGGATGCCAAAAGAGTTACAACTGTACAGTTGGATGCAGACAGGCTGACGATTTAAGGCCCAACCTGTTGTTCACATGTAGATAGATGCGGGTAATCAAGGAGCCCTGCCTTGGCCCTGGGCTTAGATTTCTGTCAAGAAAGAAAACACTGTTGAGGAAATAAATCCCAGTGATGGGTGTAACTCTTGTCTAAGCCAAGGAGTGAGCAGGGCATGTGGAATGCATTTGTTTTGCCCTTTGTGGGCCAGATTCACAGGAACCCATCTCCAGTTTCAGTGCTATATTAAAAGGCCAGGCTGTCACCAAGTCCCCATCAACTCCTCCTGCCTGGCCTCCTTAATACATATACAGTACTGTACTGAAAACTCCTGTTGGAAGAAGTTACTAAGCTCTTAGACCAGTTGACCTCCAAGCAAAATATGCATGGCACATGGAGTCAGTGTCATACTGATGAAGTGTGTAATTCTGCAGGAAACAGGACAGAAATTAGCATACATAACAATTGAATGCCAGAGCAGGCAATACCTTTATTAGATCGCTAACCCCCCCCCTCCCCTTGAACTGTAAACATCTAAATTTCTCTGGGTTGTCCTCTTTCAACCAGGCTGGAAATATGTAGAGAAGAAACCTTAGGATGTAAAAATCACAGTCACTGAGACGAACCACTTGCATAACTGTCTTGCCCCCGGCACATTCTTTAAGACAAAAATGCCTCCCAGGCTGCAGCCTAAAATCTCAAGGGAGTTGGGCTGCCCAGAGGTTGTAAGGGTGACACGATTTGCCAAGATTTTTCAAGCCCTGCTCCACATGCTGTAAATTCGGCCTGGTGGCAAATTGGCTCCTAAAGCTCTTCACTATCCATTAACTGACAGCGGGCCTGATTTAAAACAAAAGCAGCAAAATAATCCTGCTTGAAACAAGCTTTTAATTGTGTTTGCTGAACCATCTTTTTAAAGGCACTGACAGATGTTTAAAAGGAGACTGAAGAAGAAAAGAATAAACTGAAAAAACATTGAGCCATTGTACCATGTTGTGCATTAATAATAGGCACGTGAGTCCTGCAGTAAAAAAAGTGCAGCATGGAGTGTTCTTGTTCAGCGTTCCAGGTGGCCAGACAGACCTCCTTTCACAGTGCGGTTTTCCATTTCTCCTGCCCACAAGTGACATTCAATAGTCTGTGGCCACTGGGCATTTGTTTTGCACACGGGGGAAGGAGGGTGGCTTCCTGAGCTTCCACTCCTGTAAAGATTCCTCCCCCCCCCCTTTCTGCAAATTATAGGATTGACCTAAACATTATTAGAAGCTCCTTTTCGTGTCTTAGTCACCCATTTGGGTACATAGCTACCATAACTGAGTACCAGAGTTTCCTGTTAGTTTATATGATAACGACTCGTAATAGCATGATAAAATTGCCTTGTGTGTGTGTTTAGTCGTGTCCGACTCTTCGTGACCCCATGGACCAGAGCATGCCAGGCCCTCCTATCTTCCACTGCCTCCCGGAGTTGGGTCAAAGTCATGTTGGTTGCTTCGCAGACACTGTCCAGCCATCTCGTCTTACATTCCAGGTTCCTATGCAGTATTCTTCTTTGCAGCATTGGACTTTCCTTTCACTTCCAGGCACGTCCACAGCTGAGCGTCCTTTCGGCTTTGGCCCAACCACTTCATTAGCTCTGGAGCTACTTGTCCTTGTCCTCCACTCTTCCTCAGTAGCATGTTGGACGCCTTCCGACCTGAGGGGCCCATCTTCCAGCGTCATATCTTTTAGCCTTTTGTTTCTGATCATGGGGCATTCTTGGCAAAGATACTGGAGTAGCATTGCCATTTCCTACTCCAGGTGGATTGCGTTTAGTCGGAACTCTCCACTATGTCCTGTCCGTCTTGGGTGTACTTGCACGGCATAGCCCATAGCTTCTGAGTTACTTAAGCTCCTTCGCCACGACAAGGCAGCAATCCATGAAAGGGTAAAATTGCCTTAGAGCAGCTAATTATAAAATCTTCTATTTGGAATACTGTACTAATTGTTGCCGGAGGTTGATAGGTCTCATGGATCAATGGCTTGGATGTGTATTTAGTCACAGCAGACCCACTTGAATTAACTTGTGTCTGTCTCACCGATGTCGGTGAGTCTTTTCTAAAATTGACTAAATCTGGATCCAGCTATATATATTTAAATTTTAAATTTTCCTGGGGCTCCCTGGTTGCTTCCTGCAGGCATCCTTCAATGACCAGCTCAGAAATGGGTTCCTTGCAACACATACTCCTCACCAAGAACGATTTTTCCTGTGCAATTGAGTTTGAGGGAAATGTGGCACACAGTATCTTGTAGAACAACTTGGAGAAGCCAACTGTGGACTTAGAGTTCCCAGAATCTCCCAGCCAACAAGCCTAGTGTTGACTGGGGAATTCTGGGAGCTGTAGTCCAAAACCAACATTTTCTTAACCTCTGGTTCCAAGAAGCCTTTTACATTCATGGGCAATGGCTGTGAGATCTATTCTGGGATTGCATACAAGGATTCTCCGTAATGCAACACGTTTTTATGGAAAACATACCCTGAAAACTGAAGTATAAAAACTCCTCCTTGAAGGGAACTATGATGGATGCTTTCATTTTTGAAAAAAAAATCTCTAGGAATTGTATACGGAACTTTATTTTGCCAAGCGCCTCTTTCGTTTTTGCATTTACTGTGAAAACAAAGTATAAATGAAAAGTTACAATTATGTCGGTTTGCCTCTGAAAAGAGGGGATCAAAGGAAAAGTACCTCGGTCATGGGGGGGGGACGACGACAACGACACAGATCCTCATTCCATAAAAAACATTTTGAAGGGCGCGTGGTGGGCGAGGCTGCTGAGATGGGTGTGCTGTTTTATCCATATTTGCTAATTTGACCTCCCTCGTCGGATGGCAGTAATTCTCTCGTAAGGAAGTGGCTATATATATGTATTTATATTTTTTCCCGCCAGCCGTGCCTGCCTGCTTCCTCCTCCTCCTCTCTCTCACACTCCATGAGGTAGGGGTGTGGGTTGATTGTACACAATGAAAGAAAAGAAGAAGTCGAAAGAGAACTGCCTTGTGCTGATGTCAGGAGCAGGGCTGGCGGAGAAGAGGGTGTGATTTGAGTTTGGCTGAGCTTTAGACAGCTCTCTATCTTCGATTTCCAACTTCCAGGGCGCTGAGACGGGCTGCAAGGTACAGAAAAACCCTCCCCTGTTTTTCCTCTCTCTCTCTCTCCGCTTTTGCCGGC